CCAATCCACAATTGTCAACCCCATTTTCCTAAGCGTCATTCTCGTTTTAATCTCTCGTTTACCCGTGGGTTTTCGTGAGGTATCTTTCCTTCAGGCTCTTCATTCAGTATGTTCTGTGAATTTTTTATCAACCCCCCCATGCTACATATCCCACCCATCTCAATCAGCAACCCCATTTTCCTAAGCGTCATTCTCATTTTAATCTCTCGTTTACCGGTGGGTTTTCGTGAGGTATCTTTCCTTAAGGCTTTTCATTCAGTATGTTCTGTGAATTTTTCACCAACCCCATGCTACATATCCCACCCATCTCAATCAGCTTGATTTGATAATCCTGCTTGTAGTAGATGAAAGTTGTGAATAATGGAAGTCTTTATTTATTATACAGTTTTCTCCACTCTCCTGTCTCTTCATTCCTCTTAGGTCCAGATATCCTCTTCAGCACCCTGTTTCCAAAACCCTCAGTCTGAGTTCTACCCTTAAAATGAGGGACCGCATTTCACACCCATACAGAACAACAGATAAAGTTTAGTTTAATTATATTTTGTACTTTAAAATACTTTTTATCTTTACATTTTTAGATATCAGGTGAGAAGACAATTATTCTGAGATGTATTATAGTAAGACTTTGGGAAATTTTTATCTCGATATCAGGTGAGAAGACAATTATTCTGAAATGTATTATAGTAAGAATTTGGAAAAATTTTATCTCATTTTAATTTTTGATTAGTTATTTGGTATCTGACAGATTTTCAAAGGATTTATTAGGTACCTTTATATAATGCTGTTATTCTGGTGACAACATATGTACATATACATATCTTTGAATTTGCTTCTAGACCGACTTCCTTACTTGCATATACTAGTTTCTGTATTTTTCATTATGATATATGTGATTTCACCTAATAAATTAAAATCATTATAAACCAGAACCTGATGTGCCCCGTACAATTCTAAACCCTGGTTGTCTTGCTTTTCTGGTGTTAAATTCTGAAGTAAAGTCGAAAAGTAGTGGTGTGCTGCACCAGAAATGTTACACTTGATTGCGTTGGTTGCAGACAGTTATTTGTGTTTGAACTAAGAAACTTCATGGAGCAGGGTCTTCCCTGAGAAGGTGCAGTTGCTCAAGAAATTCACCACCCTTCATGGGATCCTTATTTTTGTGACTATGTTTGGTAGAGGACACCACTGGACCATATATGTGGAAACATAAATCTATTCCAGAACCTCACATCCAGTTTCTTCGACATGTTTTCTACCCAGTGCATGATTGATTGCAGGAGTCGATGTATGTATTTGGTATTTGTATGACATTTAATGGAACAGATAGTTGTGCTATTTTAAATGTTGTTAAAGGAACCTTTAACCAAGATGGGCATGAATCTCAAGTATTCTCATTATTTTCAAATACCTGAAATGCAATAAAAGAACCCAGAATTTCCTTGGATTTGCCTGCCCCCTTCTCTGTAATACTTGGCCTGTGTCGAAGGTTGAGCGTGTTGGTTTGGGGTTCAGTGACTGAGGTCAACAGTGTGTGTGTGTGATAGCAAGCCATGAGGAACGAGTTTGGACGGCACAACATTATGCGTGCGACTTACAAATCCAAATAACACTACCATTGGTTAAGCACTCGGAAGTACGTTATTGTTGACGGAGCTTCCAAGGATTGCCAGTTACTCAGAAACATTAGAGAATAAAATGAGAGAAATATTAATACAAGTGTGGAGTCAGAGCAAAACAATCAAGATTGTTATTTATAAATTCTCAGATCTGGAATTAATAATGTTATTATATGTAATAACATTGAGATACTAATGAATCCATATATAAAAGAAGGAACATTGCATATTAGTTGATGTCTGTGACAGCTGGTGTCAGAAATAGAATGACACATTGATTCAACATTACAGATAATTGTGGCGCAATTAAAATAAATGATAAATGCGGCCAAGAAGGACTTGAAAATAAAATAATGACGGTGAACACCAGCCAGGAAGAACTGTAAAACAACAAACGTGTCATCAGGTCTGACCAGACCAGATTTGGAGAAGAAATAAATATACTCAGTGGACAGCTGAAACGTATAATAACAGTTGTTGAACTGCAAGTCCAGAGTCATTGCGAGGAATTCAGTAGTCGGGTGTTGAAAAATGGAGTAGCATGGTACATAGAATGACATCAACATGACCTGGAAGCCATGCATTGGGAGTTCAAGATGCAGCTGACAGCAGTAGACGTCCAAACAAAATGTGGAGGTTGTGAGAACATGGACTGACACAGACAGGATGAAACCACTGTAGTTTGATGATTCCATGCCCTGGGAAGTTTTACATGGCCAGTTCGAGGCTGTGACTAATTATGGATATGAGTGGACATCCCATGAAAAGGCTACATCTGTTCCCCATATTGCAGGAACAAGCTGCCAACATATGCATGATGTCTCGGCTGGAGCAACATTCAGCGATGCCGTCAGGGCTCTCGAGGGCCTTTATGGAAATTGTCAGTTGGCCATAGCCTACTTCTCTCAACTCAAGGTCAGGATCCACTGGGATAGTGAGTTACTGCAAGGGTTTGTGGCAGTTATCAGGTTCCCAGCAGTCTTCATTCAGTTGGAGGCCGCCCATCAATTTGTTGACGGAGTGTACCTCCTCACGGACAGCAGCAGGTTTCTAAGGAGATCCTCATTGAGGCCCTTAAGCTAAAGACAAAAAAGTTGTAGCCAGAACATCAGAAAAAGATGGAAGAAAATGTCAAGGTTCGTGTGGGAACATGGTCTCGAACAGTCAAGGGCTGTAGGGTCGAATGACTGACATGCAGAGAGTACAGCAATGCCAGTCACCTCCTAAATATCTGTTGGTAGAGACGTGCATTGAGGTCATCAAAACTTAAGTTTGGAGAAATGATTGTGTGATGGGATGAAGCACCAGTGGACGCCAACGCAGTCGTCCCCTTGCTTCATCTGCTTGATCAGAAGCATTGACCGGAGGCTTGTATTGCAACTTTGCAGACAGAGCTTGATGAGCGAGCAAATCAGAAATTCTGACAAGCAACTTTAAACAGATTTAGCAGCAGAACAATCGGGGACATGGAAACTGGAGACGGGGAAAATGCTATTGGAAAGGCCGAATATGGAGCCAAATTCAAAGTTGGTAGAATTGGAGACTGACTGCAGGACCACGACCACTGTTTCCACATTGTAGATCATAAGGAACAATCTGGAAGAACAGCGAGGGGCAGACAGCATGAAGGTATAAATCATTGCTGCAGTTTGCAGATGGTTGGTACTGCACTGTCCTGAAGAAGCGACTGGATAATAACAGCATGAGACTGAACAGTGCCCTGAATGGAAGTGCGTCACTCACCACAGTCCTGTTAGATGGTGTGCTGGAATTCAAGCAACAGAAGGACCGAGACAACCAAAGTTGTTCTTCCATGGACTCTCAGAGCTTCATAGCGAAAATCTTGTATCAGGGAGAGCAGGACTTCTGGCTACATTCAAGGTGTGCCAACAGTGTGACCCTTCACAGCAAACTTGGGTCCAAGAACCAGGAGCAGGGGTTGGATGTCACTTCGCCTTTTGAAAGGATCGTCGTAAATAATGCGGGACTGCTCCTGAGAGCGGTCGACCGTGGCTCATATCCTACTGACCAAATTTTTCTGCCTTAAGGTCCTTTATCTTCCATCATTTCTAGACTTGCAGAAGCACGGAAGTTACAAGATTTAAAACGCGTACTCCTTGGGGAATTCGGAAGTTCCAGAGGCGTTCATCATGCTACACACTGCTTAACATTATATCAGTTAATAAAAGCAACCTAACATTTGCTATTATTACTTTTTGCTAGTAATCACATATGCAGACTAATTCGCACATTGCCATGATGTTGACTAACCAAGCTAACGACATTGCAGCTTGAGTAATCAGTAATAGATGGCAACTTTTGTGGTGATGGCATCAGCTTTTGTATGGCTGTGATATATAACTACTGACTGATTACAGTGTGATTGGTTTACATGTAATGGTGTTGTGGTGGAGGATCGTCCTCCCGCCTCAAGATGTTCGGAATCTGTCGTATTGGTATTGCTGTTTGTACGGAATTAAGAAGTGTGTGTTTGGACTAGCCATTAATGCTACGATATTACTTCTCGGTCCAATATACACAACATTGGCATCACTACGACATACAATCATATTTGACGGCTATATATAGCCGAAACATGTCGTAAATGTTCCACATGTAAATCGAGTACTCGATAAGGAACGTAAAATGATATTTTAATCTTTTAATTATCTTATATTGTGATTGACGGCCAATTTTAATATATTTTTAATACTATCTGTAGTTATTGTAAGGCAGAACATGGAGTTTGTGGGACCACCAGTTGTGATCCTTCCAGACTGATCAGCATGTAATATGTTGTTTGCTTACTACAGAGTGTGAAGAACAATTAAGATTCAAACTAATTCATGTATAACGTGACCCAGCATCTGAGCGCTTCTAAATCACTTTGCTAACCAGTCAGGACAGCCGTAACCACTGAAACTACTGCGATTTTCATGAGGAGTCAGCACCTGGAGCAGCGGCCGTGTGACTCACGTGTATCAAGCAGTAGCAGACCTCTAACAGTCAATTTTAATATTATCCTTGCATGTAAACTGTTATTCTTTCCTTTCCAGTTCACGACACAGTGCAAACAGAAACGTTCCTAAACATCCCTTGACATGCAGTGATATTCTGGGACGTGTTCGTTGGAATCACATTCCTGCAACGCATCTGGGATAAACTTTAGTTTCATTACATTTTAATTAGACTCTGTATGCAATAATTGCAGTTTACCTGAGAACTATAGTCAAAATGCATTTTCACGACTTTTATGTCATATAATTTGTGATGAATCCTTGTTGTTGCTCATTTATCAGTTGTTTGAAGTTTTACGTGAAGCCTGCGTTGATTTATAGTAGATCCTGTAAAGTGTCTGACATTTTACTTTGTTCTAATTAACAGGTATCACGAACTTTGACCTGCTGGGTGACTTTGGACGTATCGAGTGGCTGGGAAACTTCAAGATAGTTCTTTTGTACAACCTCGTGTTTGCTGCTACAGCCACTCTTTGTCTCGTCAACAAGTTTACTGCCACAGTCAGGAGAGAACTTTACGCTCGGTGAGCTGCACCTCTGTGCTTCCACATTTTAATTTTGTTAACGAGGGGCACGTGTAAGTGATACATCTGTGTGTTCTTAGCCTAGTCCAGTCATATTTCATATTGGGACACATCGCTCTGCATTAAACTAACTTTATTTCAATACAGACTGAAAAGTTTCCTGTTGACGTTATTCCACAAACCTCAAAGACATCGCTCGACATCTTGGATGTCATCCAGCCCAAATCCCACATCAGGAAAGGAAGACTGACAACGGAACTTGTGAGTATATTTCTTTGTGCGCGTAGCTACCGTATCTACAACGGTCCATCAGTGTTTATTTTATGATTATGTAAAACAGAATAATTTACAATCATACATAAATAACTTACTAGAAGACTTTAGAGGCATGAACCCAAGAATGAGAAATCTCTGTTTCAACACTTAAATCGTCTCATTGTCTTTATTTCTTTCTTCTCTTGGTCCTCGTGAACCGTGTCTGGAATGTGTGGTGGTGCCACCACTCACTTTATCGTATCGCCACTGCCTCGCGTGTTTGTGCGCCGTGGACGTCTTAGGGCTAGTACAAGGATATATTTTGTGGTACCAGATTCAGTTCTTAGGTTTTATTATTTGAATTGTTTTAATGGACTACAGACCATTTACATTTTAGTTGCTCCCACGAATTACGTTAGCAAAAACTGGCAATTTGTGTAGAGAACAAGTTATTTGTCTGATGGAGCGTAGAAGCCGTTTGCATTAGGACAGCAGCAGAGTCAGGTTGGCAGCGTACATAATTCAGTCAGCGCAGTGACAAAACATGGCTGAAACTTTAGCCAAATATGTGAGCAAATTAAATATTACAAGTAAATTATTTACCCTTTTTTTAAAGAAAAAAACCGTCGGGTCGGAGTCAACCCCTAGTGACATGAGCA